AGCGGTTCTCATATCGTTTATGTTGTAGCGTATAACTGGCAATTTGATGTCGATTTGGAGCAGTGCTGTCCAAGACGAGCCCCAGAGCTTAGTATATACCATTACCATAATATAGCAGTGATGACTGATGCGACATTATATGGGAGAAATGTGTATTAACGAGCATGATTTTCTTATACATGGTTAAGTAAACGGAAATTTCTTTGATAAATAATATTGATTTGACAGAAAAAGAAAAGTTTAATTCAATCTGTGTTTTAAAAGTGAAGTAACTAAAAATGCAAAAGTAAAACATTACTGTGATTAAAGACAGAAAAATAAATTTTCTTCTTTTGGAAATTGATCAGCTACGATTTAGATAGAATCACTTTTAAGATTTAGTACTTTGATAAAATTTACTGAATTCCTATAAATACCTCATTTACAATGCAGCAATTCACGATTACAATACTTTTGAAGATAATTCACAAAGTGAATCAGTGATCAGTTTAATTTTATCTTCGTTCCCCGCCATAATTAAAAGCTCCCTGTGGAACAGAGAACTTTCTTTATCGTAATATCAATATTCCCGAACCGAAGACTTCAAACTGTAAATCCAATCTCACCAAATTTTTCATAAAATTTTATTTGTTAGAAGTATACAATTTTCGCAAATATTTCTTCGAATTATAAAAGATATGGAAAATATTTGCATATACCTACGCATTCCAATGAAATGGTTTTTTTGAAGAAATTCCGCGTTCATTTCCACGAAACTAAATCTATATAAATTTAATTTATACAAATTTAACATATTTAGATCTAATTGATTTATAAATTTCAGAAGCAAGAAGTCAAAAATTTATAATCCTTTACAACCATTGTATGAGGGTGAAAAAGGAAAGTACAAGGAGAATGATAAAAAAATTTCAAGAATCGTTCAATGGAGGAAGCTAACAACCAAACACTTCCGTCATAACAACACCCGATTCGACGAAGTCTCATACGTTTCATAGTCGACACCGAAACTAGGACTTCGCGGAAACGCGGCCAAAAAAAAAAAAAGAATTTCACGAAACGTCGAGAGGGAAGGATGCTTCTTGCGCAAGTGTTGAGAGACAGGTCCCTCGTTGTACTGCTTTGAAGTTCGTAACATCGGTGAAACCGAAAACGAGACAATGACAGATCATAGTCCAAAAAATTATACTACAATTTAGTTTTATCATTAATGCCAATTGATAAACGAGAAGAACACCTTAATTAACTATCCAAATATTTCCTGTGATAATAGATACTTAAAATTTCGAAGAATAAATCTAGTTTCCTCTTATTGGTTTAAATATTCACATATTTTTAATATTTCACGAAATTTTTTGTTAATATATCTCCAATAACTTTTATTTGTTTCAGATCTTCACGTTGAATAGAAATTTCAGTTGTGAGACCCATAGCACTGAAAAAAATATTTTCAATAACTAAATTAAATCTTCAAAAAAGATTATTATAGATCCTTAAACGATATACGAACACGAATATAATCTGCTGAATGTAAAATCTATTATCTTTTTAATATATTAGCTTTCTATTCTACAGTATACAATTATACAAATTTGTATCACCAGTCTTGCAAGTATTAACAACGATCACTAACTCTACAAAGTGATTCACCACAATCGTATTGTACAGAAGCATGAAACAGAAAGAAAGTTGGCTACGTTGTTAAACGCAATTCGGTTATCAAACGGAGGAGTTCGCATGAGAAAGCACAAAGCTCACTACCACAAGCAGGTAATGAAGTTGGCAAATAGAGATACCAAGCAACGTGAACAATACTACGCTAAAAGAGGGAGATCAACCGCAAAACTCTGCCTTTTCTATGTTTTTGGTCGACAATGAAAAAATCCATTGATAGTTGTTTCAGAAACGACAGCAAAGTATTCCTTGTTCAAAATGAATTTTGCAACAATCGAAGACGACCAAAATGCTTCCTACAGGTATATCGAGCCGAGTTTATATCTACAGCCGAATCTATAACTAAAGGTGAATTTAAACTTTTCATTTTGGATGATCATTGTGGACGATTCGTCCATACTGAGAAAATGTAAATTCGTCGTCACGAATGAGTGCAAACAAACATTGCAAATACAATCTATTATTTGTTGGTAATTCGTAGAGAAATATTCCTTCACATATGTTCATGCACGTATAGTGTGAACGACACAGTTAAATGTTCCTCGTCGTTTTATTATTTTACCGGTATCGATTGCTGTTGGTCACTAGCCAGGGCATACTGTTTTAGGTTAGTTTCAAACTATCGTAGTTGACTGTTTGATATTTTACGAATGAATTGTTTAGTCCAACATGGAATTTTTGTAACCTGAAATTCGGAAACAAATTGAATGCATTATACTGGCTTCTATATTTCTAAGAAGAAATTATTTACCAACATTATTTTCTTTTTCCTATACATATTAATAATTGCATTATGAAAGGACAAAGTAGAGAAATGATATTGTACATCATAAGAATAATAATACGCAGTGTTCCTATTTCATTCGTACACGTTTTCGTTAAACGATAATTGAAAATGGAGCAAAATATCAATTAGCAATGACAAATTGCATTTTAATTACTTACATGTGTATTATGTTATCGCGCTTGTTTGTCCGGTATAGCTTTGGCTTAACATGCACTACAAGACACACGATCACAGGACAGACTGATTTTCCGACAATTTCCTCGACAGATAATTTGCATATCGAACATCTTTCATGGCATGAAGTTTCGTTGCAGGCTATTCTCTTTCGTTTCCCTCCATAGATGGTAACACTTTTAGATGAAGCACAGTCTCCGTGAAACCAGAACGAATTCCGTGTCGACGGAATTTCCGTAAATGAAGAAAAGATGGCGTGAATAGACGAGGGAGAAAGGGAAGTCTGATAGAGAGATGGAGGCAGTTGCGTGTTCTCCCGCGTCGCGTAATAAAGCTCGGCGCGAGCGTTGTTGACAGAAAAATAAAAGCTGTCTGTGTTCATGGCAGCTGTGCCTGCCGAGGGGGAAATATCGCGTATCCTTTCCCGATTATGCGTTTACACGAAAATACGGACTGGCAAATATTTCAGGCGTGCACGACGAAAATTCCCGAAATTTCTAGACGTGCGACGCGTTTGCGTCGCCTCGTGAAATATTCCCGGGAACGCCTCTGTGTCTTCGTTAGATTGGTGTTAATTCTATATAACTGATACTTTTTTCTACATACGATATCTAAATTTGAGATAATTATAATGTTTCACATTATATAATTATAATGTTTAATAATTGCTACAAATAAAATCTGTAATGGCAATACAATAGTATAATATAATCACAGGTAATGCCGCCATTAACCAACATTAATGAGAAGGCGAAATATACATAGATACCAATGAGTATATATGCAATAATATATATTAACTCACATACCGTTTTAGAAGTACTACTGGTATACTCTATAAAAAGTTAGAAAATATGAAAATTTCTATTTTAAAAATTTATTCTTTTCTTGTTATTAAAAAAACTTTAATTATAATTGACTTTTTGTGTAAATTACAATAAGATAGGCATTTTTAGTATACATTTATTATATACTTTAAAATTTTATACTTTAATGTTTATATTTTTCCTTTTTTTTTTACAGAGCACTATTATTGGAAATTTTCCAAATGAATTTATAACACAAATATAATTATGTATGAAGTAAAAAAAACTCGAAGATAATAGAACATAGAAAGCCAAGAAAAACAAATAAAAGCATCTAATAAATGAATTTTTCTGTGGTTACTAACAATTTTAATTAATTTTTCCAATAATATAACTTTATCTAAAACATTCAGCAACATATCCAACTAGACTCATTTTATATTGTTCGCCACAAAAGAGTGGATAAAAAGTTTCAGTTGATTCTGAACATGAATATACTCTGTGTGAACGAAAATAGTGCAATAAATAAATGGTATTTATCATTGCATACACATCTGCTTAAACGATTGTTCAAGAATTACGAAAACGAATTTGGCTAAAGCTTTTACGCTTAAAATAAAAGTTCAAAGGTAATAGAAGATTGAAAATCATAAAAATAATAATAACTTTTAATTATAGAAATAAATAAACATTTTTGGATTATTAACAGCAATGGAAATATTACTGAAAATTCACGGGATATTCCACCACAAACAACGTTCAAACTACTGCAAAGCAACGGATTGCGCGCAGCTCGCTTCCATGCAAGTCCGCTCCAAATAATGTATCGGGCCATTATCGATGCTTCTCGACTGGCGTGAAGAATAAATATTTTAATGCTCCCGAAGTTAATCATCCGGGATTGGTAGCAATTAAATTCATCGACAACGGGATCATCGGGGAGTACGTAGGATCGGTGTGGATAATGAGCGTCTGTTGCATCCAGTACATGTATTTTCACGGTCAAACGAAAATTGATAACCTTCGCATCCAGATAAAGCGAGAATAAATAAAATAGACAAGTAACATAAAACGAGATCAAGGAAAAGAAGAACTTTAAATAAGACGAGCACGTGGACGCACGTTCACCACGAGATACCGGATATTCTGCGAAAACCAAGAAAGTTCACCAGTAGACTCTCTCCAAGGAATCTTTTCGTCCTCTTTAAATATTTGCTTCTTTCCACAGATTCCGACATCCCTTTCTGTCGCATGGCATCGTTGCTTCGCCAGGTATTATGTCTTCAGTCGATATTCATAATCCGACAATATAAACGCGCCCTTGTGAAGCAGTCTGCCAAAGGAGGCCTTCGTCGGAAATATAAGAATCTTACCTGATATCAGGGGAAGCAATCCGATCAACAAAAGAAGGCCCATCGTCTTGTCGCGGAAGTCTCGCTTCTCTATTCTGCATACACTAGCTTGTCGCTACTTCTGTGTCATTCTCCGTGTCGAAGACTCGTTTCCGGTAAATCCACTTATCAATGTTGTACAGTCTCTGTTCTAGCTGTTGTTCTTCACCAAATCACAAGGTAAACGGAAGATCCCGTTACTATTGATCGAAACGTTGTTCGAATCCGTCTTGAATAATAATTTCTTTCAGTCGTTTATGGAGCCAGATTCCACAAACTCCACCGAGAACTGCACGAATGGTCCGCGGGAATTTCACAAGAATTCCACGACAGTTCCACCGGAATTCAACGAGAGTACAAGGAGAATTTCGCGGGAATTCCGCGAGAATCCAACGAGAATTCAGCGATGGCTAGAGAGAAGAAAAAGTACCACGGAGGAGAGACGTGCACGATACACTGGTGAACGAGTTGGTGGACGACCAAGGAGGTCCAGCAGGCAGTGGAGACGACGACGACGATGCGGAGCGGCACGCGGTGTTGTTAACTAAGCTGCCGCTGTTCGCGGGGCTGTGTGACACGCTGCATAGAGCGCGGTACGAGACCAGTTCGAAGACTGAGTACGAGTCCATATCCCGGAGGCTGACTTCTCTCGGCCCTACCAGGGTACGCCGTACAGTAATGCCCGTCCATTGCCCGCCTCTGGATAACGTTTCCTTCCACCATTAGGCAACACGCGATACACGCTTCGCCGTGAGACACGCCGTGCTCTCCCGTGTCCTCACGCGGGGGAACCGTTGCAGGATTATCGCGGATCTTTCGGAGGAGGCTCTCTCTTTCTCTTTCTTTCGCTTTCCTTCTGCCAAAGTGACCCGGTGGGAATGAGACGTTAAGATTCTAAGCTGAAATAATTTAGGGGCGAACTTCTGAAAATGGATAGGTTTGGAAGTGTATCTTTATTTGAGAATTTACAATTGTAAATTTTGAAAGTATCGATATGGATATAGAAAGGTTAAAATTTGCCTACTGGAATAATTTAGAAAATTTTCAATTAACACTTGGGGAGTTACTAGAAACTGTTCGATATTAGTATTTAAAGGAATATAATGATTTCCGTTTGATACCATTAAAATTTATTGGAATGTAATGGTTTAGAAACCTAGGATCAGATGTGGATGAATTATAAATCATAATGTAAAGTTTGAAAGTGTTAATAGCATGTCTTCTATACATAATTATAGAAATAAACATTTATTTTTTGAAATAAATTTGTGACATCAAGTTTATGAATGAAAGTATAATAAATAAGATATAAATTGTAATGTAAGTGTTAAAATGATTACCATTTGAGTATTAAAAGTATTACTATTAGTAAAACAAAAATAAAAGTTTATTTCTTTAGTTGGATTTAAATTTATGCTTTATTTTTCTTAATTATTAATTACTAATTTTCAGTCCGGTTCACGATTTACCAAATAAAATGATTCGTATTTACAAATGAACTTATTTAACAGCATTTACTACGAAAATGCAAGTTACGTTCACATTAATAACGCGAACGATACAGTTTAATCAAAATTTAAATCCGACCTGCACGAAAATTAATTGCACGATTTATTGTGATGGAAATTATGTTGAAACCACATGGTACTTTCTTTCCGTCACATACGATTGCGTATTGGGGAACAAGATGGAATAATCAACAAATTTTCGAATCCAACCGAGGAAAAAGAAATTGCCAAAAAAGAAAGAAAGAATTAGAAAAGTAAAAAAGAGGATTAATGTAACGACTCTTTAGAAATGTTTATCAGAATTCTTTACATAATGACTATGTAATGTATACGTCATGGCCAGGAAGAGAAAATGTATCCTTTGTAACGAATATGATAGTTACTTAGAGCTACCGAAAGCGTTATACCCAGACCGGGACTCGAAACGAGGAAAATTAATTAGAACGGAGAGCTGAGAAACGACTTAACACGATTAAGCAGTGAAAGGCGGTGTTTCGAATGATAATTAGTGCCTGGTGAGTACAAAAAATTCATTTCGCTTTACCGCTTATCTGAAATTAAGTTGCTGTTAAGTTTTAATTAAACAATGTATCATTTGTGTAATATCCCGTATATTAATTGTCATTTTCACGATCAAAGCTGAAAAAAATAATGGAAAATTTAAATTAATAAAATATATATATATATTACTACAATATAAATAAATTTAACTATATATTCATGTAATTAATTATTGTTCGTATAAAAAATAATTGTTACTTAATTTGTATATATCAAATGTCGATAATAATGTACTTCACGCTATTTATTAAAACCTCAAAAGATCAAATTAATAAAATTACTGAGAAGTATGAATGTATAAAAATATAATTTTTCGGATTTATTATTAACTATGCCCTTTTAAACAATATTTCGTTTGTAACCCAAATTGATAATTGTACAAAGAAATTATTTAAACTGCAATCTTATATAACTATTATTTAATTCGAATTCATAAATGTATTTTGAGTCTTGAATTGTCTTATCATTTTATCTTAAACCGTCATCTGAACATGCTTCGAACTTCACAAAATAACGTGATTCGAGAAAGCTCTCGAAACAATACAAAAGTAACAGATATGTACATCGAGAAACTATAGACTATCTTATACACGAAGATTTTAAGTATAACAAAATTGAACAACAATTTTCGTAATTTCAACGAATAATATTAAGATACTCACTGAAGCTGAAATGCTCTGAAATTCGTTTATGTCTCGTCAACACATGAAAATTTTAATCGAATTGCTGCGCGTATGCATCGTAGCAGCTGAAGTATAAATAATTGTAGACTGAGCATCATCGCCAGTGCCACTGATCATCATGCATCGCCTCGTTCAATTTCGTTCAATTTGGATAAAATATAACGAAACGTTCAAGGAGTATAGCTCATTGTCGTTCGAATTATCATGATTTACGTACAAATCTATATGTTTACAAAGGACAAATAAATTGAATAAATATGTGTCTGATTTAGGAACATACATAATGTTTGTAAATTTTCATACCATTCCGATCGATTTGAAAGTAAAGTATGGCTAGAAAATATTTTTATTCCCATAAAACTAATTTTATATTACTATTTTGTAATGAGGTTCGTTTATATTAGGTTAATAACGATAAAACATTGTAATTTGGTTTCACTTTTTTAGAATATACTATTTTCCAAATTAAACTAAATTTTATATATGAACCATAATCATTTTCCAACACTTTCTATCAACTATGCCATAAACATTTTGTAGGACTCTATTCACCCCACATTAAGAAACAAGTATTTGTTCTAAAAATTTGACATACGAAAAACTGCTTAGGTGCGACATCTATATGTAATGTTCACAACTAAATATTAATAGAATTTTTACCTACAAATCAAGGTTGAAATTATATAAATTTAGAGGCAACAATTTTTAAAGACAGTATTGAAAATCATTTAACCTTAGTCATTACATGTGCATTACCACTATATTTATACGATGTAGAGAAAACAAAAATAATTTTTCATATGGGATTTATTTATTACAGCATATTATTAACAGTATTATATCACATGATCAATAGCTATTATGAATAAAAGTAAAAAAATGTATTTCAATTTATTTGATATAATTTAACTTATAAAAGTGAGATCCGAATGTGGAATCATCGACCACCACGGAGTCGAAGTACAAGATGCAGAGTTGATTCTTTCTGAATATTATAATCAGAAAGCGTACGGCCATCTTCCAATTGTTTTCCAGCAAAGATCAGTCTTTGTTGATCAGGTGGGATACCTTCCTTATCACGAATTTTAGCTTTAACATTCTCAATTGTGTCCGATGCTTCAACTTCCAGGGTTATAGTTTTCCCAGTGAGAGTCTTGACAAAAATTTGCATACCACCTCGAAGTCGGAGTACAACATGGAGCGTAGATTCTTTTTGAATATTATAATCAGAAAGCGTGTGACCATCTTCCAATTGTTTTCCAGCAAAGATCAATCTTTGTTGATCAGGTGGGATCCCTTCCTTATATTGAATTTTGGCTTTAACATTCTCGATTGTATCGGAGGCTCCAACATCGAGAGTAATAGTCTTTCCAGTAAGGGTCTTGACAAAAATTTGCATTCCGCCTCTAAGTCGAAGAACAAGATGGAGGGTAGATTCTTTTTGAATATTATAGTCGGAAAGCGTACGACCATCTTCTAATTGTTTCCCAGCAAAAATTAATCTTTGTTGATCAGGTGGAATACCTTCCTTATCTTGAATTTTAGCCTTGACATTCTCGATTGTATCGGAAGCTTCAACTTCGAGAGTAATAGTTTTCCCAGTGAGAGTCTTGACAAAAATTTGCATACCACCTCTAAGTCGGAGTACAAGATGGAGGGTAGATTCTTTTTGAATATTATAATCAGAAAGCGTGCGACCATCTTCTAGCTGTTTACCGGCAAATATCAATCTCTGCTGATCTGGTGGAATACCTTCCTTATCTTGAATTTTGGCTTTAACATTTTCAATCGTATCAGAGGCTTCTACTTCGAGCGTAATAGTCTTTCCAGTAAGGGTCTTGACAAAAATTTGCATACCACCTCTAAGTCGGAGTACAAGATGGAGGGTAGATTCTTTTTGAATATTATAGTCGGAAAGCGTACGACAATCTTCTAATTGTTTACCAGCAAAGATCAATCTTTGCTGATCAGGTGGAATACCTTCCTTATCTTGAATTTTGGCTTTAACATTTTCAATTGTATCAGAGGCTTCTACTTCTAGCGTAATAGTCTTTCCAGTAAGGGTCTTGACAAAAATTTGCATTCCACCTCTAAGTCGAAGTACAAGATGGAGGGTAGATTCTTTTTGAATATTATAGTCAGAAAGCGTACGACCATCTTCTAATTGTTTTCCAGCAAAGATCAGTCTTTGTTGATCCGGTGGAATACCTTCTTTATCTTGAATTTTGGCTTTAACATTTTCAATCGTATCAGAGGCTTCTACTTCCAGCGTAATAGTCTTTCCAGTAAGTGTCTTGACGAAAATTTGCATACCACCTCTAAGTCGGAGTACAAGATGGAGGGTAGATTCTTTTTGAATATTATAATCTGAAAGCGTGCGACCATCTTCTAACTGTTTTCCAGCAAAGATCAGTCTTTGTTGATCCGGTGGAATACCTTCTTTATCTTGAATTTTGGCTTTAACATTTTCAATCGTATCAGAGGCTTCTACTTCGAGCGTAATAGTCTTTCCAGTAAGGGTCTTGACAAAAATTTGCATACCACCTCGAAGTCGGAGTACAAGATGCAGCGTAGATTCCTTTTGAATATTATAGTCGGTCAGTGTACGACCGTCTTCTAATTGTTTTCCAGCAAAAATTAATCTTTGTTGATCAGGTGGGATACCTTCCTTATCGCGAATTTTAGCTTTAACGTTTTCAATTGTGTCCGATGCTTCAACTTCCAGGGTTATAGTTTTTCCAGTGAGAGTCTTGACAAAAATTTGCATACCACCTCGAAGTCGGAGTACAACATGAAGCGTAGATTCTTTTTGAATATTATAATCAGAAAGCGTGTGACCATCTTCCAATTGTTTTCCAGCAAAGATCAATCTTTGTTCATCAGGTGGGATCCCTTCCTTATATTGAATTTTGGCTTTAACATTCTCGATTGTATCGGTGGCTCCAACATCGAGTGTAATAGTCTTCCCAGTAAGGGTCTTGACAAAAATTTGCATTCCGCCTCTAAGTCGAAGAACAAGATGGAGAGTAGATTCTTTTTGAATATTATAATCAGAAAGTGTGCGACCGTCTTCCAATTGTTTTCCAGCAAAGATCAATCTTTGTTGATCAGGAGGGATCCCTTCCTTATCTTGAATTTTGGCTTTAACATTTTCAATCGTATCAGATGCTTCTACTTCCAGCGTAATAGTCTTTCCAGTAAGTGTCTTGACGAAAATTTGCATACCACCTCTAAGTCGGAGTACAAGATGGAGGGTAGATTCTTTTTGAATATTATAATCTGAAAGCGTGCGACCATCTTCTAACTGTTTTCCAGCAAAGATCAGTCTTTGTTGATCAGGTGGAATACCTTCCTTATCTTGAATTTTGGCTTTAACATTTTCAATCGTATCAGATGCTTCTACTTCGAGCGTAATAGTCTTTCCAGTAAGGGTCTTGACAAAAATTTGCATTCCACCCCGAAGTCGGAGTACAAGATGGAGGGTAGATTCTTTTTGAATATTATAGTCGGAAAGCGTACGACCATCTTCTAATTGTTTTCCAGCAAAAATCAATCTTTGTTGGTCAGGTGGGATCCCTTCCTTATCTTGAATTTTAGCCTTGACGTTCTCGATTGTATCAGAAGCTTCAACTTCCAAGGTTATAGTTTTCCCAGTGAGAGTCTTCACAAAAATTTGCATACCACCTCGAAGTCGGAGTACAAGATGCAGCGTAGATTCCTTTTGAATATTATAATCAGAAAGCGTGCGACCATCTTCTAATTGTTTCCCAGCAAAAATTAATCTTTGTTGATCAGGTGGAATACCTTCCTTATCTTGAATTTTAGCCTTGACGTTCTCGATTGTATCAGAAGCTTCAACTTCCAAGGTTATAGTTTTCCCAGTGAGAGTCTTCACAAAAATTTGCATACCACCTCGAAGTCGGAGTACAAGATGCAGCGTAGATTCCTTTTGAATATTATAATCAGAAAGCGTGCGACCATCTTCTAATTGTTTCCCAGCAAAAATTAATCTTTGTTGATCAGGTGGAATACCTTCCTTATCTTGAATTTTAGCCTTGACGTTCTCGATTGTATCGGAAGCTTCAACTTCCAAGGGGATAGTTTTCCCAGTGAGAGTCTTGACAAAAATTTGCATACCCCCTCGAAGTCGGAGTACAAGATGCAGCGTAGATTCCTTTTGAATATTATAATCAGAAAGCGTGCGACCATCTTCTAATTGTTTCCCAGCAAAAATTAATCTTTGTTGATCAGGTGGAATACCTTCCTTATCTTGAATTTTAGCCTTGACGTTCTCGATTGTATCGGAAGCTTCAACTTCCAAGGGGATAGTTTTCCCAGTGAGAGTCTTGACAAAAATTTGCATACCCCCTCGAAGTCGGAGTACAAGATGCAGCGTAGATTCCTTTTGAATATTATAATCAGAAAGCGTGCGACCATCTTCTAATTGTTTCCCAGCAAAAATTAATCTTTGTTGATCAGGTGGAATACCTTCCTTATCTTGAATTTTAGCCTTGACGTTCTCGATTGTATCGGAAGCTTCAACTTCCAAGGGGATAGTTTTCCCAGTGAGAGTCTTGACAAAAATTTGCATACCCCCTCGAAGTCGGAGTACAAGATGCAGCGTAGATTCCTTTTGAATATTATAATCAGAAAGCGTGCGACCATCTTCTAATTGTTTCCCAGCAAAAATTAATCTTTGTTGATCAGGTGGAATACCTTCCTTATCTTGAATTTTAGCCTTGACGTTCTCGATTGTATCGGAAGCTTCAACTTCCAAGGGGATAGTTTTCCCAGTGAGAGTCTTGACAAAAATTTGCATACCCCCTCGAAGTCGGAGTACAAGATGCAGCGTAGATTCCTTTTGAATATTATAATCAGAAAGCGTGCGACCATCTTCTAATTGTTTCCCAGCAAAAATTAATCTTTGTTGATCAGGTGGAATACCTTCCTTATCTTGAATTTTAGCCTTGACGTTCTCGATTGTATCGGAAGCTTCAACTTCCAAGGGGATAGTTTTCCCAGTGAGAGTCTTGACAAAAATTTGCATACCCCCTCGAAGTCGGAGTACAAGATGCAGCGTAGATTCCTTTTGAATATTATAATCAGAAAGCGTGCGACCATCTTCTAATTGTTTCCCAGCAAAAATTAATCTTTGTTGATCAGGTGGAATACCTTCCTTATCTTGAATTTTAGCCTTGACGTTCTCGATTGTATCGGAAGCTTCAACTTCCAAGGGGATAGTTTTCCCAGTGAGAGTCTTGACAAAAATTTGCATACCCCCTCGAAGTCGGAGTACAAGATGCAGCGTAGATTCCTTTTGAATATTATAATCAGAAAGCGTGCGACCATCTTCTAATTGTTTCCCAGCAAAAATTAATCTTTGTTGATCAGGTGGAATACCTTCCTTATCTTGAATTTTAGCCTTGACGTTCTCGATTGTATCGGAAGCTTCAACTTCCAAGGGGATAGTTTTCCCAGTGAGAGTCTTGACAAAAATTTGCATACCCCCTCGAAGTCGGAGTACAAGATGCAGCGTAGATTCCTTTTGAATATTATAATCAGAAAGCGTGCGACCATCTTCTAATTGTTTCCCAGCAAAAATTAATCTTTGTTGATCAGGTGGAATACCTTCCTTATCTTGAATTTTAGCCTTGACGTTCTCGATTGTATCGGAAGCTTCAACTTCCAAGGGGATAGTTTTCCCAGTGAGAGTCTTGACAAAAATTTGCATACCCCCTCGAAGTCGGAGTACAAGATGCAGCGTAGATTCCTTTTGAATATTATAATCAGAAAGCGTGCGACCATCTTCTAATTGTTTCCCAGCAAAAATTAATCTTTGTTGATCAGGTGGAATACCTTCCTTATCTTGAATTTTAGCCTTGACGTTCTCGATTGTATCGGAAGCTTCAACTTCCAAGGGGATAGTTTTCCCAGTGAGAGTCTTGACAAAAATTTGCATACCCCCTCGAAGTCGGAGTACAAGATGCAGCGTAGATTCCTTTTGAATATTATAATCAGAAAGCGTGCGACCATCTTCTAATTGTTTCCCAGCAAAAATTAATCTTTGTTGATCAGGTGGAATACCTTCCTTATCTTGAATTTTAGCCTTGACGTTCTCGATTGTATCGGAAGCTTCAACTTCCAAGGGGATAGTTTTCCCAGTGAGAGTCTTGACAAAAATTTGCATACCCCCTCGAAGTCGGAGTACAAGATGCAGCGTAGATTCCTTTTGAATATTATAATCAGAAAGCGTGCGACCATCTTCTAATTGTTTCCCAGCAAAAATTAATCTTTGTTGATCAGGTGGAATACCTTCCTTATCTTGAATTTTAGCCTTGACGTTCTCGATTGTATCGGAAGCTTCAACTTCCAAGGGGATAGTTTTCCCAGTGAGAGTCTTGACAAAAATTTGCATACCCCCTCGAAGTCGGAGTACAAGATGCAGCGTAGATTCCTTTTGAATATTATAATCAGAAAGCGTGCGACCATCTTCTAATTGTTTCCCAGCAAAAATTAATCTTTGTTGATCAGGTGGAATACCTTCCTTATCTTGAATTTTAGCCTTGACGTTCTCGATTGTATCGGAAGCTTCAACTTCCAAGGGGATAGTTTTCCCAGTGAGAGTCTTGACAAAAATTTGCATACCCCCTCGAAGTCGGAGTACAAGATGCAGCGTAGATTCCTTTTGAATATTATAATCAGAAAGCGTGCGACCATCTTCTAATTGTTTCCCAGCAAAAATTAATCTTTGTTGATCAGGTGGAATACCTTCCTTATCTTGAATTTTAGCCTTGACGTTCTCGATTGTATCGGAAGCTTCAACTTCCAAGGGGATAGTTTTCCCAGTGAGAGTCTTGACAAAAATTTGCATACCCCCTCGAAGTCGGAGTACAAGATGCAGCGTAGATTCCTTTTGAATATTATAATCAGAAAGCGTGCGACCATCTTCTAATTGTTTCCCAGCAAAAATTAATCTTTGTTGATCAGGTGGAATACCTTCCTTATCTTGAATTTTAGCCTTGACGTTCTCGATTGTATCGGAAGCTTCAACTTCCAAGGGGATAGTTTTCCCAGTGAGAGTCTTGACAAAAATTTGCATACCCCCTCGAAGTCGGAGTACAAGATGCAGCGTAGATTCCTTTTGAATATTATAATCAGAAAGCGTGCGACCATCTTCTAATTGTTTCCCAGCAAAAATTAATCTTTGTTGATCAGGTGGAATACCTTCCTTATCTTGAATTTTAGCCTTGACGTTCTCGATTGTATCGGAAGCTTCAACTTCCAAGGGGATAGTTTTCCCAGTGAGAGTCTTGACAAAAATTTGCATTCCGCCTCTAAGTCGAAGAACAAGATGAGAGTAGATTCTTTTTGAATATTATAGTCGGAAAGCGTACGACCATCTTCTAAGTGTTTACCAGCAAAGATCAATCTTTGTTGATCAGGTGGGATCCCTTCCTTGTCTTGAATTTTAGCCTTGACGTTCTCGATTGTATCGGAAGCTTCAACTTCCAAGGTTATAGTTTTCCCAGTGAGAGTCTTGACAAAAATTTGCATACCACCTCGAAGTCGGAGTACAAGATGGAGGGTAGATTCTTTTTGAATATTATAGTCGGAAAGCGTACGACCATCTTCTAATTGTTTACCAGCAAAGATCAATCTTTGTTGATCAGGTGGGATACCTTCCTTATCTTGAATTTTAGCTTTAACGTTTTCAATTGTATCTGATGCCTCAACCTCGAGGGTTATTGTTTTGCCTGTCAGTGTTTTTACGAAGATCTGCATGTTTATCTGGTAAAGAAATAAAATAATTCGTGAAATTAATGAAAAAATATAAATTATTTTTATTATTAAAGTGTGATTCTAACATTTATAAAATACTGTAAATCTGTTTTAAAGTTTAAAATATTGTTTTCTTTTTATAGTATTTGTTCATAAGCTTCGTAAAATGTGCGTTACCTTTATACGTGCTAAATATGATAGACATAATGGCGTCACAGCGATGAATCAATAACGGCCATTTTGTCTTCGTTACTCACACAGCGACTCAATTATTAAGAAAGTGATAAATGTTCTTTCTCGAAAAATGAGTTTATCATTTTTACATATTAAAGTTATATTATCAATTATTATGCATTACGCATACAAATGGAAAATAAAATGTTGCAATTATTAAGAAATGAAGTAAAAGTTTAGGAATGGTTTTCAATGTGTTACAGATAATAGTTATTGTACTTCGTTATTTTGTATTTCTCATGTTACTTTCTTTTTAAATATATGAAATAATTCGCATAATAAATTAAAGGAATTTAGAATAAGAAACATAAAAATTATAGACTTAAGAAACTAACTAAGAAATAAAATATGTTATGAAGGAGTAAAATATTGCAACGCTGATAGATCAAAATTCTTACCTTCCTTAAAAATAGTTTATGATGCAGCAAAAATTTCAATAAAATTTAAGAAGTCTCACGTTCTTACACTAAAATCACTCTGAAATGTCCTGCAGGACTGCACGGATTTCACAGTAAACGTTCCTTTTATGTCAATGATGGAAGTTGTACTGATCATGCGCAAACATGTCAGAAGATTTCTTCGAAGATTCCCATTGGATTATATTTTGTATCGTCATTGAGTCTCTGACGTTGCTACGTGTGATTGGTTTCAAACACAAAAAATGTTCTTTGTCTAGTGAATTTTGTTAAATTAATCTTGTTTATAAAATCATTTGAAGTATATTTTTATTTTTGTTTGTATGATTTCTTTGACCGAAAATTTTATTTATATGTATTCTTCTTTAAGCTGTCACGTTTTAATAACAATATATTCATAGAGGGCGCATATAAACCTATTAAACAAAGAAAAATGATGATTCATTGTTTTCATAACGATGCTTTTTCCAGTAATTTCGTTATGATTTACATTTCTGAAAAGTATACTAATTATATATATGTTCCAAGAAATTAATTATTTAGAGAGTTATATAGATACAGCATGTATAGGTTATGTTGTAAATACTAAAAATACTTCTAAACAATATAAATTAGCTATACTATTTTTGTATTAAACTAATTAAAAAACTATCATTATAAGGATTTTCACACAAAGTAACTTACGATTTTTATAATTCAATCAATGCTGAAATTATATTACGGTAATAAATTGATGAAACGATCAGAACTATATCGAATATTTGTTAATAAAAATTCATTTTGTGAATGTTTGAATGTTACGTATGTGATACATATTCAAATAATTAGTTAAATTGAACACTGAAACAGAAAATGACATAACATTTATTTATTTATTTTTATATTTTCTAGCAAGAGAGGTTTGTCAATAGTACTTACCAAATATAGTGAAACACAAAGAAATCAGCATTTTATCTTGTATAATTTTTCATGTTCATTACCGGAATTGAGATTTTAATAAAAAATACAAAAGAAACAATTAAATTAATTATGACTGTGAGAATAGATTAAAATTTTGTTTATATGTTTGTTACATGAAATACATGACAATTTTCAAAACAAGTATTTACTTATAATAATTATTTACATTTTTAATTTAATATGTCATTATTAACATCGAAGTAATCAGTTTTAGTTAACTACACAATTACGTAATTTATCGGTAATTACAAATAATTAATATAAAAAAAAGAAAAAAAAAATCAAAACGAAAACTCGCAGACTTCATAGCTAAACACTAAGAACAATATGAATATTTACCTTCTTATTATCGAAATATGTCTATGGTAAAACATGAAACAGTTTTTTTCACATTGTATAAATTGCATATTGTTCTTAAAAATAAAGTATAATTAGAATGGCACAACAAACATTTCTCTGTATGGCTTCTCTATATGAAATGAATATATAACGTAATTCCTACCTTAATTTCAGTATATCATCAAGTTCTTAATACTGAAAAGAATAATATGTATTATTTATATCCGAAACTCACAAGGCTCTACGCACGGGTTTTTGCAGGTTTGAATACCGACTGGAAAAAGTTTGCGAATTTTCTTTGTAAAACACCTGCAGATATAAGCGCATTACATTAGTATTTGGTTCAAAAGATAATAATAAATTAAAAATACACATATCATGTAGCTCGAATATATACAAATATACTTTAATTAATACTGTAAAACAGGAAATTAAAGTGGCATAATGCTTAACCTTATGTTGATTCAAAGCACGTGTCAGCTCAGTCTGATTAAAAAATCGTATAGATGTACGATTATATGAAGGAAAAAATCGAAATTATAAGATTCGATCACTGTTAACATCCTTATTTGAAAATGCTAATTGCACCAAATAGAATGTCATATGAAATTATGTTCATAACTTATACAAATTACATCCTTAAATTAAATGTAAATTAAATTTCTTTTAATTTTACCTTCTATTTTTTACTATTTTTATTAAAAAATTAATACAATATCAGTCTCAGTTCTACTCGGTGCCATCCAAAAATAAATTAACTTTCTTTGTATGACAAGTTATTCTTCTTGTAAAAAATTAGCTAGTAATTATAATCGTACAATCGAAGTGCTATTGTGTGTGTGGCCTTCTTACTAAAGAGAATATTTATTAATTTATCTTATTGTAGAAGCTCTTATACAATATTCTAATATGCAAAGGAATATGGAAGTGAAGACAACTTTATACGTATCTCATGCATGTTCGATTTATTCAAAGAGGATTTGCATGTGTACAACAGAAGATTCATACACTGTGTCAGAACAAAATTTATTAAATATGAACATTCTGAAATAGTTTTCGATTTCCTGTAATATTTTTAAACAAACTACAGCAAAATATTAGGAATTCTTGACACGTGCACTTAACCCTCATTGGACAGCAAAGCGTCTATTTTAATAATTGATTTTCAACTCTGCTTTCTTGGAATCTTCTGCGTGTATCAGTTACACGCTGTGTTGAACATACGGTGTTAGGAGTTGTTTTGTGCAAGGAAACATTCTGCACTTCTTTACGACTACACACACAACATACACACGAATTCTCAATACAAACTAACCTACTCTTAACTTCAAAACTTATAAATGTTCAGTTTTACCACCCTTTCTATTAAACTTCATCATACATTGTGACTTTGAAATATAGCTAAATAAGTAATTCAAAACTAATTAACGCATTCATCATTTCCTTCGACAAAATCCTAGTGCTGGAACTAATCGTACCAATTGCCTGTTTGGGAAAGATCGTACGTGTTTTTAGAAATCTCTAGTAAAATAATTGCAAAATGTTGTTCTTATTTACCTTAAAAATAACATTATCCATATTTTCGAAGTAACACTGAAAAGTAATGCTTACATAAAATGAATTTAACAAATTAAAACTGAAGTATTGTATTCCTTATTGTAAAGATGTTTTGAACGTACTAAAAAATTAAGTTGCTCCTAACAAAATTGAAGCAATACCTAATTTTTTTGTCATTAAAATATTAAACTTAGTCCTAATAGAAACGCGACAATTTGACGATATTATTATACATCCAAAAATAAAGTCAAGGTACAATGATATAATCCGACCTAATAATTTCTTTCGCTATTAAAATCATGATTGCGAATTAAAACAATGTGCCACTGGTTGTCCAAAGGGAGACTCACATTCCAAATAATTATAACATCGTATTAATAGATCGTTAGTCTTGTTTTAAACTTTGATATCTTTCCAGTATAGAAACACCTCATTGAACAAGCAATTGACACGAGAAAAATTTGTTTCTTATACTATATAATTTATGAGTAAATCGATAAAGCGAATATTTTGGTAGATCTACTTGGAGTCAGTCTCCATTTTGATCTCTTCTGCTTTTTTATCTTTTTTCGAAGCCTCACTATCTGTTCCTTCTCCGTTACTGTTATCACGTCTTCGTTTCCTAGCATATCGGCCCTTATATTTAGATGGTGGAAGTTGTTCCATACCCAAAACTTTATGGATTTGACGAAATGCAACCAATCGTAAAGCATGTTGCGCCGAAGCAGTTATATCTTCTCTTTGTTGGGCTGTCATATTGCCTATTGCATCAACCGGTTCTTTTTCACATGGGTCAGATAATCCTATACAAAAATGTATTATTTATAACTACATCGTTTTCATACATACTGTGTAGGCTTTTACATATAGAAAATAAAAATCAGATTGCCAATCATCTATGCAATACTGTGAAGCATTCTATGAAGACGCAAAAATCGAAATACTCAATCTTAGTATCTACAATAGATTTCACAATATGCTCAGTCTCGTCATCAGAATCATCATCTTGTTTTATAACGTAATTTAAAAATGCAAATATTTTTATTAGTTACATTAATTTGTAGAAATATATTATAATACATACCTGGACT